TCTCCGTTCCCTTTCGGGGCAAGGGCCGGTCACCGTGCGGGCCCGCCCAGTTCTCCCGCCTGTCCGCCGACCGTCACCAACAAGAAGAGCCCGCCAAAACCAAAACCCCAATGGCCTCGGCTGTCATTGTACAAAATTTTGTTGCTGCCGCCGCTCCTCCCTGGGGGCGCCAGGTCATCGGCGAGCCCGCCATCACCATCGGACGTTCTTCACTTTGTGGAGGCCACCACCGTCTCTCTCTCTCCATCTCTCCTCACCGCTCGTCTTCTTCGCTCCCCTCTCCGTACCGTTCACACAGCTCAAGGGGTGTACCTTGGAAGACTTTCTCTCTCGCTCATACGCTCGCTACACCATGCGCACCCACTTGCTGATGGTGGTGCTGGCGGCGCTTGCCGTTGCCGCGGCAGGTCAGGCCGGACGGGTCCTGCTCGACCCGGAGACGCAGACGGTGAGCGAAGACGTGGCCAACGCAGCCATTAAGGTCATCCGGCTCGGCGGCTCGACGGGTGTCGTCTCGATCGACTATACCACCACCGACGGAAGTGCGACGGCTGGCGCTGACTACTACGCTACCTCGGGCACACTGTCGTGGGCCAACGGCGAGGGCGGGTTCAAGACCATCAACGTAGGCATCATCCAGGACGCCGTCTTTGAGGGCCAGGAGACCTTTACGCTTGCGCTCTCCAACCCGACCGGCGGTGTGGTGCTTGACGCGCCCAACGTCGCCACCGTGACCATCGACACCTCGGACCAGGTCGCCGGCACCCTCGGCCTCGAGTTTTCGTCATACGCTGTCGTCGAGGGCAATACGCTCTCGGCGCTCGTCCTGCGGACCGGCGGCTCGGATGGCCCGGTCTCGGTCACCTACGAGACCCTCGCCGGAACCGCTACTGCGCCGTCGGACTTTACTGCAGCTTCGGGCGTGCTCTCGTGGGCGCACGGCGAGTCTGGCGGCAAGGCCATCGCCGTGCCCATTGTCGACGACGCCGTTTTCGAGCCGGCTGAGTCGTTCCGCATCTCGCTCTCCAACTTTCAGGGCGGCGCGCTGGTCGGCACCAAACAGGCCCTCGTGACCATCGCCAAGTCGGACCAGGTCGCCGGCTCGGTCGGCTTCCAGACCGCGTCGACCGTGGTGGCCGAGAACGTCGGCCTCATCACTGTCTACGTCGAGCGGACTGGCGGCTCTGACGGTCTCGTCACCGTCGACTTTGTGCCTGTTGACGTTACCACCACTGCCGGCCTCGACTACACCGTCACGCCGGGCACCCTCAGCTGGGCCTCGGGCGACTCGTCGGCCAAGCCCATCAGCATCAACATCATCGACGACTCCGACTTTGAGATGAACGACGAAGAGTTCACCATCCGCCTGCAGAACGCCGCCGGTGGCGTTTCCATCGACGCCACCAAGTCGTCGTTCTCGGTCGTCATCCAGGGCCCGTCCGACCAGGAGGCCGGCGCCATCGCCTTCTCGCCCACCACCTACACCATCGCCGAGTCAGCCGGCTCCATCACTGCCATCCTCACTCGAGTCAACGGCAAGGATGGCCCGGTCTCGGTCTCGGTCCAGACCGCAGACTTTGAGGCGCTCGCGGGCTCCGACTACGTCGCCAAGACTGGCGTCATCTCGTGGGCCAACGGCGAGTTTGGGCCCAAGGGCTTTGTTGTTTCGCTCCTCGACGACGCCGTCTTTGAGCCAAACGAGATTTTCACCATCCACGCCTCGGACCCGACCGGCGGCGTCGAGCTGGACGTCAACAACGATACCGCCACTGTCACCATCGCCCGCTCCGACCAGGAGGGCGGGGTCATCAGCCTGCCCAAGACTCTGTTCTCGGTCCAGGAGGACGTCGGCGCCATCCAGATCCAGGTTTCCCGCACCTCGCCCGTCGCCGACGGCGCCGTCTCGGTCCAGTACTCTACCATTGATGGGAGCGCTGTCGGCGGCACCACCGGCGGTGACTTTTTGCACACCTCGGGAACCCTCACTTGGGCCGACAAGGACAACACGACTCGCTCCATCTTCCTCATCATCAACGACGATGCCGAATTTGAGAACCTCGAGTCGTTCACTTTCCAGCTTTTCGACGTCCAGGGCGGCGCCAGCCTCGGCGCCTCGACCGCCACCATCTCCATAGCTGGGAATGACCTGCGCCCTGGGTACGTAGCGTTTGAGGCCAACGGAGCGGCGTGCAGTGTCTGTCAGACCTCGGTCGTCGAGTCCATTGGCACCGTCGTCCTCCAGGTTCATCGCCTCGACGGCTTCAACTCGCCGGTCTCGGTCTCGTTCTCGGTCCTCGCCGGCACCGCCTCGACCTCGCAAGACTTTCTCGACTCGTCCGGCACCCTCACTTGGCCCAACGGCGATGCGAAGCCCAAGAACATTTCTATCACCATTCTCGACGACACCATCTTTGAGGGTCCCGAGTCGTTCCTTGTCCTCCTCCACTCGCCGTCGGGAGTCACGCTCGGCGAGCACGACAACGCAACCGTCACCATCATTGGGCCCAACGACCAGGTTGGTGGCACCGTGGGCTTTGAGGCCGCCTCGCTCGCCGTCTTTGAGGAGGATGGCTCTGTCTCTGTCAACGTCCGCCGCGAGGGCGGCGACGACGGCCCGGCGCAGGTCGCCTACGCTATGGTCGCCGAATCGGCCGTCAATGGCTCGGACTTTATCATGTCTTCGGGCGTGCTCTCGTGGGCCGACCAAGATGCTACCGTCCGGACCATTGTTGTCCAGCTCATCGACGACACTGTTTTCGAGACTCAAGAACTGTTCCGGGTCGTCCTCTCCAACTACGTCGGCGGTGGCAGCCTCGGTCTTGCCTCGGTCAACGTCTTCATCGAGGAGTCAGACCGCATCGCCGGAACCATCCAGTTTGCTTCCGCGCTCTACCGGTTCGACGAGTCGGTCGGCACCTTTGCGCTCGAGGTGACCCGGATCAATGGAACAGATGGCCTTGTGACCGTCGACTTTTCGTCTCTCGCAGGCTCGGCCACCGCCGGCGTCGACTACTCGCTCGCCTCGGGCTCGCTTGTGTGGGCGTCAGGCGAGAGCGGATCCAAGCTGGTGACCGGCTCCATCGTCGACGACTCGATCTATGAGGTCTTTGACGAGTCGTTCACCGCAGTCCTCTCCAACCCGACCGGCGGCGCTACCCTCGGCTCGCCGGCCACCGCCGCAGTCCTCATCACCGGGCCCAACGACTTTGTCGCCGGAATGCTCCAATTCTCGGCAACCTCGTACTCGGTCATCGAAGAGTCGGGCGAGGCGCTGCTCACCGTCCAGCGCACTGGCGGCTCGGACGGCCTCGTCACCGTCAGCTACTCGATCACGCCGGGCACTGCCACGCCCGATGTCGACTACCGTGCCGCCAACGGGACGCTCGTCCTCCCGGACACCGTCACCCAGGTGACCCTCCGCATCCCCATCTACGACGATGCCGTCTACGAGCGCATCGAGTCGTTTGCAGTCTCACTCGCGCCGCCCACTGGGGGCGCCTCCCTCTCGCCCTCCCTCTCTACCGCCACCGTCTTTGTCTTTGACGACGTCGACCGCACCCCGGGCGAGCTTGTCGTCCCGTGCGCTGTCCTCGCCGTCGACGAGGACGCCGGCTCGCTCGAGGTCAAGGTCGAGCGCCGCAACGGAGCCGACGGCTTTGTCTCGGTCGAGGCCATCGTCCTCAACGGCACGGCTCTCATCGGTTCCGACATTGCCGCCAACGGCGGCGGCACCGCCCGCTACGCGCTCAACTGGACAGATCTCGACGACTCGGCTGCCTCGTTCCACATCAACATCATTGACGATACGCTGTACGAAGTGCCCGAGGTCTTCTACATCCAGCTCGCCAACCCGACCGGCGGTCCGACCGTCGACACCTCGTCGCGCATCGCGGTCTACATCCGCGGCCCCAACGACGTCGAGAACGAGGTGCCGGCCGCGCTGCGGTCGGCAACCGTGGCCAAAGACCAGTCGTCGTGGGAGTGGGCTGGCCCGCTCTTCCTCGGCGTCTCGCTCCTCCTCCTCCTCCTAGTACTCCTCTTCCTCATCCTTTGCATCATCTACATGCGCTCGTCGCGGCAGCCCATGCCCGTTGCCGTCGACCGCCACCAGGTCGCCGTTGACCCGCACCAGACCCCGCACAAGACCGAGGTCCTCGAAGTCCGCCACGTCCGCGCCTCAGCCGGCGGTGCCGATCTCGACTCGACCCGCCTTGTTGACGACTACTCGTACTCGGCTGCCGCCGGAAACTGGGCCGAGCCGGGCGAGGGCTACGATGACGATGACATCATCTTTGACGACTACGAGTACGACGAGCCGCGATCGGCAGACGCGGCGTACATGTAGTGCACGCCATTCTGCCACAGCACTGTAACATCCATCTCGCACGGAACGCTGGGCTCCTTGGCGGGTGCCGCAGTCGGCTCGACGCGATGCAGAACTAGCCCTCCGTCCGCGGCGCGATGCGCGGCGAGTCTGCACGCTTGTCGATCAACGCCGAGCGTGTGGGGAGGGAGCAAAGCCAGCCAGAATGTGTTTACGAGAATGTGCCACGTGCGTTCAAAGGACACAGTCTCCTTTCCGCTACACTGCCAAGCTTTTGAGCAAGCCCAGGATGACACCAAAGTTGCCCTCGCCCGTCCGTCCGCGCCCGCCAGAGGCCTCGGTCATGAGATGGGCAAAGAGCTGGCGAACAGCCATGTGCAGGATGCCCAGCGCGTCGCCGACCGAGTTGCCGACCGAGATCAAGCCCATCAAACCCTTGGTCCACGAGTCCTTGAGTACCAAGACGAGGCCGGCCATTTCCGACGGCGACCAGGCAACGCCGAGCTCGCGGCAAACGCCAAAGAGCACGGCGTAGTTCATCGTCGCGAGCTCGGGATGCACCAAGTGGTCGAGCCAGACCACGGTCCGCGCAGACTTGATAACCCGCTTCTTGTCGGGCCGCTTTGTGCGGACCATAAACTTGCCGGTCGTGGTCGAGAGGTAGCCGGCAGTCATGGCCCGCGCCATACTCACCACGCACAGTGCGTCCGAGTAGCCTAGCGAGAGGTCAATAGCCCAAATGCCAACTTGCTGAGGCGCGCCGCCGATGCTACTCCCGCCGACGGCCGAAATGGCCGAGGCTGCAGATGAAGCGCGCGAGCTGCCGTCGCGCTTGCCCGGCGTTTCCGCCGGACGAGCGCCCGCGGCTGCCGCCTCTTGAGCCGCAGCGTCAAAAACCACAAAATCAACCTTGACGTGGCCCATGACCGAGAGCTGAAACGCCGCCGAGCCGATAACCTCGGCAACTTGGACAAGCTGATCGGCCACGACCGAGGTCTGTGGGTACACGCCGCCAGCCACCGCGTACGAGCCGGTGAGGATCTGGTCGTGGGCCGCAAGAAGCCTTGTCTTGCCGTCCGGCTCGATGAGAATCGAGATCGACGGCGAGGCGAGCATGCGCTCGGGCACGGCCTCGATGAGCCCGCCGGCGTCGGCCGAGCAAAACGCCGCAAGGTATGCATGCCACGGCGAAGTCGTGCTGCTCCCACGCATGTACACAGCCGGTGCCATGACCTGGATGGTCGCCTCGAGCGCTTCGCGGAGCTCGGCCCGGACCCGCTTGCGGACGGTGACCTGGTGGAACTCGGCAAACCAGCCGTCGCCATACTTGGCGCGCTCAGCGAGGAGGAGCGGGTAGCATGGTAGCGTGTCTGTGCAGAAGAGCGCGTGCCCGCGGCCGCCCATTCCGTGGTTGGTCTTGAACAGCCACTGTCGAACGTGAACAAAGGCGGCGATGAGCTCGGTGAGTGCGTCCTCGACCTGTGCGGGCGTGTACAGATCGCCGCGGCACGGCGCGGCCGTGAGTCCAGTCGAGTGAAACAACCGCTGCGCACCTGACTTGGTCCCGTACTTGGCGCGGAGCGCCGGCGTAGCGCCCAGGAGCGGAATGCCGAGCGTGACCGCAAGGTGCATGTCGTCGTCGCACGCTGCGCTTGGCACAATGTACGCCGCGCGACCGGCAATAAAGTTGCGGATCCGCCGCAGCGCTTTGGGCGAGGATCGCAGCGCAAGCGAGAGTGGAACCCACGATGGGAGCTTGTCGACAGCTTCCGGAACCACAAACTTGAGCCGCTTGGCAATGCCGCGGACACCGCGGAGCTCGAGCATTTGCACGTAGTAGTCGCGAAGGTCGTCCGGAATGGAAAATGGCGCTACATAGATGACGTTAACGCCGTCCTCCATGAGATCGAGCACCCGAGCCATCTGCGAGTTTTGGGCGGTCTCCAAGTCGATCGGCAGGGCGTCGCGGGCGTCGCGGGCAAGCGCAAGCGATGGCAAGTGCACCACCGTCCGCGGCGAGGAGCGAATATGCGGCCAATCAACCGAGAACTGGGTCTGGATCACCTCGTACGCAGCCTCGCGATCAGCACGCGCCTTGGCGATGCGCTCGCGCGTGTGCATGTGCTCGAGTCGCGACCGCCACACCCGCTGGATCCGTACCACAGACGTGAGAAAGGCCTTGAATAGGACGTACTGTCGGCGCGTCCGCCACATGCGAAAGGCAGCCTGGATGGCGGTGGCGGCGGCAGCAACGCCGTTTGCTCCAGCAAACCGCCGGCCGGGCAGCTTAAACAAGTCAAGCACGTCTTCGGCGTTGACAATCGTCTCGAGCAGGCGCTCGTTGTCGATGTCGATGCCGGCCTTGGAGACCATGGCAAGCTCGGCGACGCCCTTGCCGTCGATGATGGCAAGCTTGACACAGAACCTGGCGCAGAGAGCCTCGAGCCGGAGGAGAAGCGCCCGGATGCCGCCCCATTCGTGGGCGAAGCTCCGCTCAAACGAGGCAAACTCGGGTGTGGTCGTCAGAATGCGCCCGTTGCGAATAAGCACTTGGTGCAATGAGTACTCATCCATGAGCTCGGCAAACTTGCGGATCTCGTTTGCCGCAGCGTTGGACGGGTCGCGCGCCCACTCGGGATCGCCATTGCCCGCCTCGTCAAGGCCCTGCAGCACCGACGCAACCTGAAGCGGAGCCTGCCGAGCCGAGCCTCGACTGGCAGACGATGCTGCTTCGGCGGCCGCACTCTCGGCGAGGACGATGTTGTCCGCCGGCGTCCGCATCGACGATGGCTTGGCCGACGGCGGCGGGACGTACTTGGGCCCGGCTTGGGTCTCCAGATCCAGGCGCAGAGCAAACCGGTTGAAGCCGAGCGCATCAAGAAGGACCGGTCGCCGGACGTGCTTCTCGGCCGGGTCATGGAGGTGGAGCTTGGACTGGGCCACCGGCTTGAGTGCCCCAAGCACCTGTGAGTTGTCGGCCCGCGGCGGGCCATCGCGGAGGCGGGCCCGGCCAGTTGTCGGCCTCGGTCGCGCCGAGCTCGGGCGCTTTCGCGGCGGCCGACGCGACGACGATGGGCCAGACCTCGGCGGGCGCGCCTGCAGCTTGCGGTCGTCGAGTGGAAGCGGCGCGGTGAGCGGCGGGAGGGTTCGCGGGCGGCGGGTGGCGGTAGCTGGCCGGCGGGCGCTGGCAGATTGTGGGCGGCGGTGCGAGAGCGGCGGCCCAGCTCTATGCGGAACAAGCGGGAGGACCGTCGGCTGTTGGGTCGCCGCCTGCAGCACCAGCTCGGCCTTGGACGCCAAGTCTGCCTGTGCTCGCGACAGCACCGCGTCGAGCGAGTGCAACGCAGGGTCATCGGCGTTGGTGGACAGCTGCTCCCGGAGGCTGGCCAGCTCATGCTCCACCTCTTGTAGAATGACCCCGATGTCACGGACGTGGTGGGAGGTCATGTCGGGAGGGGGGGGGGGGGGGGGGGGAGGGGGGGTATGAT